CAGTTATGATGTCCATTTATCTGAAGAGAAACCATGTAAGGTCTGGAGTGGGGTTTTGCTTCTTTGCCGTTCACTATACCCACATTCACATGAGCTGAGAGAGAGATACTGCTGTCAGTCAGCTTAATCAGCACATACCAATCAAATATATATATATTTTTTAAATCAGAATAATATGCTGTTATATAATGAGTCTCACCAGTGAAGGTCAGGTGTGGCAGCAGAGAGGCCAGCAGGAGCAGAGAGATGATGGTCATCATGAAGACAATCAGTGAGCTCTTACTGACAAAATACTATATAAACACAAGGGTGGGTGGAGACAGTGAGCTGCCCGTAAGAGGCCGTTTTCTTTTCTTTTTTCTTTCCAATTTGTGGTTTAAGTGACGATGAGTAAATATTGTTCTTGACCACAGATGGTTCAGTCTAGAAGTATTAAGCAGGTCGACATACATTTAGGTACTTGAATATTTACAATTCATTACCACAAATATATAAATGGAATATATGAATGGAAAAGCAACATTATAATACAGGTGGCATATTTTTATAAGCCTATACAGTATATAGTCCATTTAGAGGTCCAATATAGAAAGCTGGCGATGGTGACCTCTGTTGGTGAGTTGAGGGAATTGCAGAAATGACAACCTTGTTCTAAATAATCTTCAATTATTCTACTTTGGTAGATAATGAAATAATTTGGCATGCCATTTATACCCTTTGTAAACAGAACAAAAGACACTTAAGGTGTTTCAGAGGTGAGAAAGACACCAAGTTCCTCACTCCCCTTAAATGTAGTTTCTGAATAATTTTTAGTGTGCTCACATTTAGCATTGTTTGTTGAATTCTCGCAGGTGAAATCATGTTGTTTCAGTAGGAATCTAAGTATAACTGCTTCATAAACAGCGATGTTACCACCTCCATGGATTCTTAGTGGATTCTAAGTTCACTTGAGAAGATGGCCACCTGGTCACAGATGCAATTTAAACCAGGGAAATCTAGGAGCCCATGTATCCTGAAAGGAAATCCCTTAGTATTCAAAGGACTGAGATTCCAACTATTGAAGAACAAGGAATTCGATACCTGGGAAAGTGCTATGACTACACTCTGAAAGGCAGCACCAATCTCAAGGATACCATAGCTCAATTGACCATTTGGCTCAAGGAAATTGACAACAGCCAGTTGCTTGGGGGGTTTAAGGTATTGTGCTTCCAGTATGGCAAACCTAAACAACCGAGGAAGGCCACCAGGTAGATAGCAGTGGCAGCAGAGACTAGCTCAAGGTAGTTGTGGTTAATGAGAGATTGCTGTTCTGCAGGCGAAGGCTGATCTGGTCTTCGCTGCCCCGCTCAGGTGAAGATCACAGGTTGAGGGGAGAAACGCTCATGACCCTGCGAAACCTGCTGAAGATGCAGAGGGATTTCCAACAATGTGCTCGCTCTGATCAAGCTGCCACCAACAACTAAACAGGAGTATCACATCCATAGTTGCTTCTGCAGTTCCTGCTTGTGGCAAAGCATCAGTGATGTTCATTTCATCTTCTTATTGTAATTGCCTCCTGGCATGCAAACATAGGAACATGTCTATATGCAGAAATCTGGCCCTGGACATACTTGTGCTATCTGGGAGATGTTGAATGCAAAAGAAGATATTTTGAAGAATATATATATATATATATATAAATGCTATGTAAGTCAATGGGATCTATCAATAAGTATCACAGGAATAATTAGTATTTAAAAAAAATCTAATCTCAATGATATATGACTATATAGATACAATGACTATGCATATTAATATTTCAGGCTACAAAATTAGAAGCATGAATGCATTAACACCAGGTATGAGGTCAAAGCAAACAGGTTTCCAGAACCCCCCCCTTCAGCAGAACACAATTCTACAAAAGTTTACAATATTTCTCTTAATACAAGTGACTACTGTGAAATTGAGACCATTTTACCAATCGCACAAAGACCTTAGAACTATATTAAACATGAAAGGGATATGATTATGAATTTTGAAGATACAGTAAAGGCATGATATAAGTATTCCATAAGATTAAACCATTACTACATTGCCTCTGTTTATTCAGCTTAATATATAATATTTAATTATATGTGTATGTGCATATATATATATATATATATATATAAATTGTGCCTTCTTGAATATATTTCCAACTTTACCCTCAAAAGCATAATGTCATTCAGTTTCGAGTAACTGCAATATTCAGGATGCTTGTGGTAGGGCTTCACTCTGATGCGGACAGACCCCTCAGCAGTGGTGGAAAGAGTACTGAAAAAATATACTCAAGTAAAAGTACCATTTCCTTCCAAAAAATGTAGTGCGAGTAGAGTAAAAGTACTGGTCCAAAAAACTACTTGAGTAAGAGTAAAAGACAAAATTTTAAAAACGTTGTACATTCTGTAATTTACATTATCTTGTTTGTCATAAAAAATGAAGAATATCTATCATCCAGCAGTTTTAATTTTGACTGCCAACTCTTTAAAATACATCAAAACAGCACGGAAACAGTTATTCTCAATACAATCATCCACATTTAAATCATAAAGTTTGAAAAAAATAGATTTAAAATCATGTGTAAGGCCACTGAGACAGCATGCTGTTGTTGCACATAAAATATTAATGTTTAGAACAGTGCAAATACAAACACCATTAGAAACTCATAGTTCAGCATCACACACCATGATATGGGTTCAAATGAGAGCCCATTTCTCTCCAAAACGGTGCCAGTTTTAGCGTTTTGCAATAAAGAAATAAGAATAACTAAACTTGATAATTTATGTTATTTATTTTGCGTTAGCATGAAGCTGCAGTTTCACAATACATGAATTACACTTACGAGTAACAGTAAAATGCTGCAAATAATATTTTCTTGCGCTTGAAACACGATTTACACCGTTACAAAGCTTCTCTTGCGCATGCAAATTTAATTTACGCTTACAGTCTTATGTACACTTCCACAACTCTTACCCTGCGTATGCAAATCTTTTTGACGTAATTCTACCTTCATACTGGCTCCAAACGAATCTCTACTACACAGACTCTGGCTCCAAATGACGTCATTTATTCAAGATGGCAGCAGCCATACTGAGATGCTTTGGCTTCACTTTTCTATAGTGGAAGGAATAGGAGACATGTCGTCCATCTTTTTTTACAGTCTATGCTTGAAGCCACCAAATACATGTTCCTCATTCTCTTGAATGTTATGGTCACTGGGAAAGGATGTGTTTTGTTCGTTTGTTACTTCGATAAAATCGGGTGGCCACGGCATAATATTCCCTGATAGCACACATATATCACGGAGACGTCTATTTGACGTCTGCATTTACATCTGCAAGACGTATTTTTTAGAGTTTTTGCTCATCTGTAATACGTCTACAGGACGTTTCCTATCAGATGTCAAATAGACGTTTAGAAGATGTCTAAGATGTTTATGACTTAGAATGTATGTAAAATTGACATCTTAAAGACGTCTATCAGATGTTTGTACACAGCAGATGCTTTCCAGATGAAGCGATCTTTAACAGACATCTTGCAGACGTACCTGTGCTATCTGGGTTACGTTCCCATGAGTTGCTGTATGCAATATTGACAGCTAGCAGTTAAAATGGTTACTGAACAGAAACGAGTGCAACTAGCACACGTACCTCTGCAAGATGTCTGTTAAAGATTGCTTCATCTGGAAAGCATCTGCTGTGTACAAACATCTGATTGATGTCTTTAAGATGTCAGTTTTGCATACATTCTAAATCATAAACATCCTATAGACATTTTCTAAACGTCTATTTGACATCTGATAGGAAACGTCCTGTAGACGTACTGCAGATGAGCAAACACTCTAAAAAATGTCTCGCAGATGTAAATGCAGACGTCAAATAGACGTCTCTGTGATGTACGTGTGCTATCAGGGTGACAATAGAAAGCGACGAGCCTTACGGTGTAAGCTGATGAGTTGATTTATCCATTTTAATAAGCCTCGTGTCACAAAACTTTTTAGAAGGATTCCGAGGCTTTTTAGGTCGGGTAGAATCTGTTATCTCTGACCCAGTTCGTTTGCTGGCATCCATGGCTGCAGTATGCTGTGTTTTCCAACAACTGGCAACCCTGAGTGTTGAAATACTTACTATTGGGTAAATTGGCAGTGGGCGGAATCACACAGGCAAAAGCAAAAACAGACATTCCAACACGGAACACACATTTCAAAATAGAATAACAGACTGTAGCATTGTTTTTTGGAGAAACGAGTTTGGAGAAAGCATATGGAATTTGTATGCTTTAGTACAATCAAAAAATTACATACCGCAACATACTATGACATCTGGTGGTGAGTTGTGGTATTTTTTTACACTGTAATCAAGGTCATGTTGACACTACATGCTACCTTTTTTCATGTGTTAAACTTCTAGCATATTCAAGTCAAACGTTTAAATGTTTAGTTCCTTCTATCAGGTCTTCCTAAAAGTCTTTAGCAGTAAAGTGAGCATTTCTGCAGTACAATGCACTTTTACCCTATGTCTTGTGAGCAGGAAATATACTATCTCCTGAATCAACGTGGTGAAAACATCATCTTGTCTGCAGGAAATGCCTATCAGAATCCTTGAAAAATGTTATAAAAAAACATAAAATAGGCCTTCATATTTGCAGTCTTCACAGGCTGGGTAAAGAAATAACCACTCACAGGTGATTGACATATGACACATTTATTGAATAAATTTGGATACATTCAAGTCAAAATCAAGTAAAAAAAAAAAAAAAAGTCAATAATCATTTTCAATAAACGTATGTATCCGTGGCAGATATACCGAAGTTCCTAAAAATAACGAAATAATGTTCCTGTGGCTTAGTGGTAGTAGAGCATTGCGTTAGCAGTGCAAAAGGTCGTGGGTTCAATTCCCAGGGAACACACATACTGGTAAAAAATGTATAGCCTGAATGCACTGTAAGTCACTTTGGATAAAAGTGTCTGCTAAATGCATAAATTAAATTAAATTAATATAAACTTCAGGTAGCTCAGGGGAATTACAGAGATGAGGGTCACCAAAAGATTTGACACCAACAGCAGTTTTCCCACAACCCAAAGGACCTCCTGAATCCCCCTGTTAACAATGTAAACACAAAAACTAAGCTCACTGTTTGGGGCCTTATATCAATCAATATGACAGATTATCTTTTGTACTTAGGGTGCATTTTCCTCCATTGCCATATGTACACATCATCTGTGAAACTGAATAGTCATCTTCTCCCCATTTATTTTCACATTTTGTGTTATTCGTGATCTTCACGTGTGTTTCCATGAGATGACTGCTAAGGGAACCATTAGTATCAAGCCTTCCCCAGCCTGCAGAATGCACTTCAATCTCCTCTTCTTTCATTGGTATGGATATCCAGTTGACTTTCTCGTTTTGTGTGACTTTCTTCTCTAGCTGTAGTACAAAATATAACAGAAATATGTTATATTACTGAACAGCAGTTTTGCTAATTATTTATTTGATCAGAACATACATGCAACCTATTTTTAGGTAATTTCCCTTCATTTGAGATTTAAGTATGTCTGTCTGGTTTGTTTTCTGGTCCAGCCTGAATAAATTTGTGCATGATTAGATAGCCTGCTACGCTGAAAAGTACAAAATGTATGGACGGTATGCAAATAAAAGCATTTACGTTTGCAAAGCTTTAGAAATGCAAACATCTGTATAAATCCTTTATATTCTATATATATTTATACAATTTACTATTATATAGATATTTTTGAGACCTTAACCCCATCTGTAGACTACGCTAACCACTTCTCAACAATAAAAAAAAAAAATAGGAAGATATATGTACAATGACAGCAATTTAACTATGACATGGCTCTCTGTAATACTTGATTCTGATTGGCCGATCTTCGCGCTTCTTAGCGTCTTCACATTTACGTTCTTTTGTAACGCAACTGGTGCCATCTTGTGTCATTACCTCAATGGATTTTTGTTCTTAATTATTGTAATACTGTAATAGTGTTCGTCTTGTTGCTAGGAGAATTGTTCTGTAGGTTGTAGTGGACTATTTGTTTTCCTTAGCAGAACATTTATTATGATTCACAATTTGTAGATGTGTAAAAAGATAATAGTTGGCCAGTTTATTTTGTGACTGTACATTATAGCCATACATCATATCTTGCTTACAAATAATATAGCCCAGATATTTATTATTAATTTTTTTTAAAGATATATGTTACATATGATTTTGAACTAAAATTAAGTAGTAATTAGTAATAGATTGTTACCCTCAAAAGCATAATGTCATTCATAACAGGTTCCTCAGTAAAGTTTGAATGCTGGTGGTAGGACTTCACTCCAAACCGGACAGAACCCTCAGTCTTATTTTTCAGGTCATGTGCTCCAACCACCACTGTCAGAGTCTCTGAACTGGTCAAATCAAATAGATTGTATTAGCATTCAGTTTTGTCTTTTAGACTATAGAATGTCAAATGCCGTGATGGACATTTCAAAACAATACACTCTACTTCTCTCGACAATGTGCAGCGGCCAACACAAACTCATCAGAAATGAGGAATCCACCACAGACATGTAGCCAGTTCTTCTGAAGACAAACCATGTAAGGTCTAGAGTGGGGTTTCGCTTCCCTGCCGTTCACTATACCCACATGAGCTGAGAAAGCGAGAGAGTGCTGTTAATGATATTATTCAGCAGACTAATCAATTCAGTCTCACCAGTGAAGGTCAGGTGTGGCAGCAGAGAGGCCAGCAGGAGCAGAGAGATGATGGTCATCATGAAGACACTCAGTGAGCTCTCACTGACAAAACACTTATAAATAAAAGTGGGGTGGAGACACTGAGCTTCTGGTAACTATTTCTCAAACCAGCTTCTAGGGCAGGGATCCTCAAATCTGGCCCACAAGATCCACTTTCCTGCAGCGTTTAGCTCTAACCCTAATCAAACACACCTGAGCAAGCTAATCAATGTCTTCAGGATCATTGGAAAATCACAGGTAGGTGAGTTTGATCAGGGTTGGAGCTAAACTCTGCAGCGCATTGGCCCTCCAGGGCAGGATTTGAGGAACCCTGTTCTAGGGCATCACAATGCCACATCTAATGATCTAGGACAACTTCAAGTGAGCTGGAGACAAACAAAATGAACACTGAATGACTACAAGGCTTATTTTCACAATAAATTTAAATACTATAAAAATACTTACTACATATATTTACTACTACTCTGTCCAGTGTTTCTAACTCAGTTCTTGTCAGATCAAGTTCTTACTGAAAATGTAGAATTGTTTTATAGTGCATGCATGCAACCAAATAACCTGCCCAATTATTCAGCTGATTCTAAATACATTTTTACTCATTTTGATTATATTAAAAGTTAGTTTGCTTTGAGAAATGTCAACATAGCTAGGGTGGATGTGGTTGGACAGTAACAGTCATGCAACTAGACCTGCAGCTGAGCTCATAATCTCCAGCCACAACTCTCTGCCCAGGGGGTAAAAACAGTAAATGGGGAAAACTTGCTTCTTACATAAAATATTCTTACCTGTGATCAAAGCAAGAGTTTTAAATTAACTGAAGAGAATTAACATACCTTAATGATTGTATTAAAAACATGTCTGGCAGCAAATCTACATCAGAATACCAAACTAACACGTGTGGTAAACATGGGCGGCGCATGATGTCTGCAGGAAACAACTTTTTTATCAGAACCTTTTATCAGAATATACTAAAATGAGTACACGATAAAATGAGTTCATCAAGAAATACTCAGAATGATCTTAGTGATGTGTAAAACAGCAACTTTCCCACCAATTGCAATGCTCACTTAAATGTGTTTTGTTCATATTTCCTACAAACACTTATTTAATTCATGACTTTTTGCACTCAATGAGTTTATAGTGTATACAGACCAAAATGATTCAAACGTTTGTGGTTGGTAATGTCTGTATTTGATCAAGTAAAAAAAAAAAAAGTGATATTGTGAAATATTATTACTATTTAAAATAACTGTTTTGTATTTTATGTGATGCAATTTTCAGCTTCATTACTCCAGTCTTCAGTGTCACATGATCCTTCAGAAATCATTCTAATATGCAGATTTGCTGCTCAAGAAACATTTCTTATTATTATCAGTATTGAAAATCATTGTGATACTTCATATTTTTGTGGAAACTGATACATTTTTTAAGGAAAAGAACAGCAAGTTAAAAGAAGAGCGTCTCTTACTCCAAACCTTTGAACAGTGGTGTATATTTTCTTTAATTAGAAAAGAAAAAATCATTCATAGTCACCGGGCATGTACTTTTGATTTTATTTTCAATATGTTTATATATGTAAATGTTTATAATGGCTGTCTTCAAGTACCAAATTAACTGTCTGCAGTTTCATATCTGGTTTAAAATACAATTTCTGATCAAATAAAACCTCTAGACAGTATATCAATGCACATTAATTAAATAAGATTGTGGGGCAAAGTCAACTAAAAAAAAAAAAAATAATCACCCCATTTCATCTGCAAGAGTTAATTAACATTTCCAATTATGCTTTTTATCCACTGAAGATATGCTGAAATCTTAGTATACACTTCAGGTAGCTCAGGTGAATTACAGAGATCAGGGTCACCAAAAGATGTGACACCAACTGCAGTGTTTCCACAAACCAAAGGACCCCCTGAATCTCCCTGTTAAGAAACACAGATCAACACTTCATTCACAGTCATGCTGTCATCATTTTTAACTTCACTGAAACCAATTCACACATTAAGATTTGGTGAATCAAATGTTGTTGTTTTTTATACCTCACAGCTTCCTCCATCTCCATATACACACATCATCAGTGAAGCTGAAAAGTCTTCCTTCGTCCATTTGCTTTCACATTTATTGTTATTCATGACCGTCACATTTGTCTCCATGAGGCGATCACTTTCCTTGCCATTAGTTTCTAAACGTCCCCAGCCTGCGACACTGCAAACAGAACCTGCTTCGATATCGCCTTCTTCCGTTGGTATGGATATCCACTTGATATTGTCGTTTAGTTGTGCATTTTTTTCTAACTGTAAACCAAAAAAAAAAAAAAAAAATGGCAGCATCACTATCAAAAAGATTTGATCATCTTCCATAATACTATAGATTGGCTGTTATTCTGCATGAAAGTCAACTAAAGGAAGTGCAGTTTGTTACCTTCAAAAGCAGGATGTCATTCTGAAAAGATTTGCTGGAATAGTCTGGATGCTGATGGTACGATTCCACTTTGATTCGGACTAAATTCCCGCTCTTTTTTTGTAGCTCATGTGCACCTAGCACAACCGTCAGAACTGGAGAACTGTTAAAAAGGCAAGTTTTATTTAGCAATAACTTATTTTACCGTTCAGAATATGGTTGTACAGTAGTCATTTTCATTAAATTTAAATATTATTTATGAATTTTTATATAATTAGCTGGCTTAATAATAATATTAAATTATTAATATTATTATTATAATATGTGTATTGTATCGAGGGATAGTAAATAATGGCATATTTAGTATTTATTTATTTTAAATTATTTAATTAATTTAATCAATTAGTAATATATTGTATTACCTAAATTATAATATTATATGAATTATAATACATTATGTATTTCTTAATTTTAAACAATTTAATTATTTAAATTAATTAGTCATTTATTTATTTTATTATCTAAAATATAATTACTAACTTATAATAATATCATTATAATAATATAAGTACTATATTGAGCAATAATTAATAATAATGTATTTGGTGTTTGTCCTATTAAGACTTTATTTCAGTAGTCCGCTTTAGACATTCTACTATCTATAAGTAACTTTGCAACTACATGTCAACTAACTCTCGTTAGAGTATTAGTAGATTGCTACACTGTAAAAAAAAAAATCCGTAAAATTTACGGTAAAAAAACGGCAGCTGTGGTTGCCGGAATTTTACCGTAAAAAATACGGTAGCAACGTTTTAGGTTTTACGGTTTTAACTTAAATTTACAGTTAAATACCGTAATTTCATTAACTGATATAATGTTAATATACCAACCTTATTGAAGTACTGAAATCTGTTTTGTACCTTTGTAATACACTGATAACCACCCAATGCAGGTGGGAATGAGAAAGTCACATGATGAACCAAAGCCCATCACAAGCAGCTTTTAAATAATAACATATATAGAAGGTGCACAGTGTCATTCACACAAACACTAAACACCATCATGGTAACACACATGAAACTGAAATAATGCAATAAACATTAATTTAACAACATTAGGTGTAACACACAACCCTAATATACAAAACTGATAAGAAAAAAACTAAGAAGAAACATCGTTATTTCAACAAAAAAACATCAAAGTTGAAATGTAACGCAGGGAATTCTGGGAATGTAAATTTACGGTTATTTACTGTAAGTTATATGGTCTTTTTCACTTCCAAAAAACGGTATACTACCGTAAAATTAATGTCCAATACATGTAATGTCCAATACAGTTTTTCAC